AACAAAAGCAAATTGTGGATGATGATGTTGAGTTGCAAGAAGATGAAGTTCCTTTGGTGTTTAAAAATGTGATTGATGAAAATGTGAATGAGGAAGTGAGGATTGATATTCAAGATGTCGAGGTGGAAACTCAAACTAATGTGAACCTATCTAGGGAACACATAATAGACATGTCAGAGCTGGTTGTGCCTAAAGCCAAGGCTCCTTTACCAAGGCCACCTCCACCTTATCCTCAAAGGCTCACGAAGCAGAAAAATGAAAATCAGTTTAAAAAGCTCATTGACATAATAAAGAGCTTATCCATCAATGTTCCTTTGGTGGAGGCTCTTGAACAAATGTCGGGTTATGCTAAATTCATGAAGGACTTGGTAACAAAGAAGTGGTCTATGTATTGTGAAACTATAAATATGACTCACCAAGTTAGAGAAATAGTGCATTCAATAGCCCCGAAGCTTGAAGATCCCGATGCTTTCACCATTCCTTGCACCATTGGGAGTGCGGATTTTGCTAAAGCTCTATATGATTTGGGGGCTAGTATCAATTTGATGCACTATTCCATTTTCAAAACTTTGGGTATGGGGCAGCCGAGGCCGACTTCCATGAGATTACAAATGGCAGATAGAATGATGAAGAGACCATTGGATATTATTGATGATGTGCTTGTCCAGGTGGACAAATTTATCTTGCCAGCTGACTTTGTGATCTTAGATTGTGAGGTAGATTATGAAGTTCCTATTATTTTGGGGAGACCTTTCCTTGCTACGCGGAAGGCCTTAGTTGATGTGGAAGCTGGGGAACTCACCTTCTGGGTGGGTGACGAGAAAGTAGTCTTTTATGTGTGCAAATCAATGAAGCAGCCTAACAGTACTGAGGTGTGTTCTTTTGTGGACCTCATCACAACAGTGATAATTGATGATACCAATACAATGATCAATGTGGAGGACTCATCGGAGGCCGTATTATTGAATCTTGATGTCAATGAGGATGCAAGACGAGTGGAGTGCATGAATGCTTTACATGGAATGGGCTCTTAATCTTATGAGCCTAGGAAATTATCTTTGGACCTCGAGAATAGAAAAAAACTCCACCCACAAAACCTTCAATTGAGGAGCCTCCGGTGTTGGAGTTGAAACTACTACCTCCACACCTCAGGTATGAGTTCTTAGGCTCAAATTCTACTTTGCCAGTTATTCTTTCCTCTTGTCTTACTAACATGTAGGTTGATGCCTAATTGGCGGTGCTTCAAAAGCGGAAAAAGGCAATTGGATGGACTTTAGCTAATATTTGGGGGATAAGTCCCGCATTTTGTATGCACAAGATTATTCTGGATGATGATGCAAAGCCCTCCTTGGAGCATCAAAAGAGGTTGAACGAGGAAATGCAAGAAGTTGTGAAAAAGGAGGTGATCAAGTGGTTGGATGTCGGGGTTGTGTACCCCATCTCTGATAGCTCTTGGACTTTACCGGTGCAATGTGTACCAAAGAAGGGTGGCATGACCGTGGTTGCAAATTCACAAAATAAGTTGATTCCTACCAAAACCGTCACCGGTTGGAAGGTATGCATGGATTACCGCAAGTTTGATCAGATGTTAGACCGACTTACTGGGCGTGCCTTCTACTATTTCTTGGATGGGTATTCTGGGTACAACCAAATCTTGATTGCTCTGGAATATTAGGATAAGACCACATTCACTTGTCCATATGGCACCTTTGCCTTTTCGAGGATGCCTTTTGGGTTGTGTAATGCACCGGCTACATTTTAGCGGTGTATGATGGCCATTTTCACTTATATGGTGGAAGACATTTTGGAGGTATTCATGGACGACTTTAGTGTTGTGGGAGACTCATTTGATGAATGCTTGAAGAATCTTGATAGAGTTTTGTCCCGTTGTGAAGAAACCAATCTTGTTCTCAATTGGGAGAAATACCACTTTATGGTGGAAGAGGGCATATTTCTTGGGCATAAAATTTTGAAGCATGGTATTGAGGTAGACAAAGCAAAAATTGATGTGATTTCAAGGCTCCCTCCCCCTACATCTGTCAAAGGAGTTCGAAATTTTCTTGGGCATGCGGGGTTCTACCAGAGATTTATCAAATACTTTTCGAAGGTAGTGAATCCCTTGTGCAAGTTGTTGGAAAAAGATGCCAAGTTCGTATTTGATGAAAAATGTATGCAAGCCTTTTAACTTCTCAAGCATAAGTTGACCACCACTCCTATCATTACCGCACCTAATTCGAGCTTGCCCTTTGAGCTCATGTGTAATGCGAGCGATGTTGCGGTTGGGGAGGTTTTGGGTCAAAGAGTGAACAAAATGTTTCATCCGGTGTACTATGCGAGCAAGACAATGAATGATGCTCAAGTGAACTGCACGGTGACCGAGAAAGAACTCTTGGCTATTGTGTTTGCAATGGAAAAATTCCGGCCGTATCTTATGGGTGCTAAGGTTATTATTCATACCGACCATGTCGCACTCCGGTACTTGATGACGAAGAAGGATTCCAAAGCTAGACTGATGCGATGGGTCTTGTTACTTCAAGAGTTTGATTTGGAGATTGTGGACCGAAAGGGTAGTGAAAACCAAGTGGCGGACCACTTGTCCCGCTTGGAGGAAGAGGGGAGGCCTCGTGACGGCCTAGAGATTAATGATTCATTTCCCGACGAACAACTCCTTCGGTGTCGATGAATGATATGCCATGGTTTGCCGATGTTGCTAATTTTCTTGTGACTGGTATAATCAGTGTGATCTCTCTTCTAACCAAAGGAAGAAGCTCAAGCGGGATAGTTTGGATTTCTATTGGGATGAGCCATACTTGTTCAAGATTTACACGGATGGTGTGATCCGAAGGTGTGTCCGAGAGGAAGAGCAATTGAGTATCTTTGAGGCTTGTCATTCCTCTCCCTATGGTAGCCTTCATGGAGGGGCGCGGATGGCTTCCAAAGTTCTTAGTTATGGGTTTTATTGGCCAACTTTGTATAAAGATGCAAGTGAACTTGTGAAGAGGTGTGATGAATGTCAAAGAGCGGGTGGAATTTCGAAAAAACATGAGATGCCTCTCAATACCATTCTTGAGGTTTATATTTTTGATGTGTGGGGCATTGATTTTATGGGCCCGTTTGTTAGCTCGTGTGGGAACACATACATTCTTGTGGCGGTGGACTATGTTTCAAAGTGGATTGAAGCCATGGCGTTGCCCAACAATGAGGCCCGGGGTGTTGTTGTATTTCTCAAGAAGAGCATTTTTACAAGGTTTGGCACTCCTCGTGCAATCATAAGTGATGTGGGGTCTCATTTTTGCAATAGAGCTTTTGACACTTTGCTTTCAAAGTATGGTGTCAATCACAAAGTTTCTACTCCCTATCATCCTCAAGCAAGTGATCAAGTTGAAGTCTCCAACAGGGAAATCAAAAGCATATTGTCAAAGACGGTCAATCCAAATAACACCGATTGGTCAAAGAAGTTGGATGACGCTCTATGGGCTTATAGGACTGCTTACAAGACTCCGATCGGTATGTCTCCGTATCGGTTGGTGTTTGGGAAAGCATGCCATCTACCGGTCGAGTTAGAGCACAAGGTCATGTGGGCTTTGAGGAAGCTAAATCTTGAATGGGATGTTGCAACAAATCTTCGTGTGGAGCAGCTTAATGAACTTGATGAATTCCGATTACATGCCTACTCCAGTTCGTCCTTGTACAAGGACAAGATGAAGTACCTTCATGATAAATATGCTTGTAGCAAGGAGTTCAAAGTTGGTGATTTGGTTCTCTTGTTCAACTCTCGATTACGTCTATTTCCGGGAAAGCTTAAATCAAAATGGAGTGGACCTTTTGAAGTGGTGTGTGTGACCCCGTTTGGTGCTCTTGATTTGAGGAACAAAAATGGGGAAGTTTTTAGAGTGGATGGGCATAAGGTCAAGCATTACTTGGGAAAAATTGATGACAGCCACGTAGTGACACTTCTTCATCTCAAATGATTTGATGGTAACCTGCGTCGTGCCGCGACGCTAAATCAGACGCTTCTTGGGAGGTAACCCATGTGTTTTTTCTTCTTGTTTTTCTTTGATTTCCATGGTAGTATAGGATTTATTTTTGGACTAATTGGTTGTGAGATGCTACAGGATTGTGTGATGCAGTGCAAGACATAGTGGAAAAAGTGTCCAAGTCTCTGAAGTTTTCAATGCGGGCGCACTACATTTAGTGCGGACCGCACTGATAAAGGATGAAATGTCCAACTCTCTGAAGTTTGCCACCGCGGCCGCATTACATTTTGTGCGGTCCGCGGTGGACCACTGCGGCCCCATGGCATTTTGTGCAGACCGCAGTGGGTTGCCTTCTCAAACTTGAAACATGCTGTGTGGTGCGGACCACAGTCCATTTTGTACGGTTCGCACTGGGTTGGTAAGCTGGGCTCTAGGTCCTTTTCTATAAATAGGGTCTGAGGCCCTCCTGTTACACTTTTCGATCATTTACTCTCAGAACCCCTAAAAACACTGTTCATCATCCCTTTTGCTCGTAACTAGCTGCTAGGAATGAGAAATCATCACTAAATCTCACATCTGGTAATTTGTCTTCTTTTTTAATTGCTTTAATTTTGTTATTCTCCTTTACTTTTGTTTTTCTTGTCTATTATTTTGTTCTTCCCGTATTTTCTTCGATTGTTAGGTTAGGGTAGTTGACTTCTTGATTAAAGTAGAATTAGGTAGTTGAAATCACTGAGCAAGCACTTAGGGACCTTTAATAGGTGTAAAATTGAACTTGAAATCAAAATACATTGAACCCTAAGTTAGTGTTGCTTCTGGGCACTTAGTGCGGACCGCAGTCGATTCTGTGTGGTTCGCAATGGCATTTTGTGCGGACCGCATTGATGACTGTCTGTAATCTAATCTTCAGGGACTGCGGCCGCACTACATTTTGTGCGGTCCGCATTGGTCCCTGTGCAGCCCCACTACATTTTGTGTGGTCCATATTGCCTGGATACAAAGAGTGGGTAGTCTGAAACCTACCTCTGTAAAGATCGCATGTCCATTTCATGCCTTCCACATTGGCCTCTGTGTGGCTGCACTCCATTTTGTGCGGTCCGTACTGTGTGATTTCTGCAACTGTCTGTAACATTTTCTGCGACTTTGATCTTACTTACTTATACTAATACTAACAAGACTAATGGATGTTGTTTGCAGAAAATGGTGAAACAAAGAGGGAAGGGCTCTAAGCAACCAGGCAAAGGAGAATTCTCCCGGGGAGGGAAACAAAAAATGATAAGACTGATTCCTCAAGCCCGACAAAACATTAAAAACATGAGGAAGATGATTAAAGCTGCTTATAGGGCTATTGACATGTCTGGGAGTGAGTACGAGCCCTCCCAGGAGATATCGTTAGACTCTGTGCCAGAATACATCCCTGACTGGCCGGAGAGGAACAGGCTAAGAGACACTCCTCCACCTTCTCCCGCTGCCCAAGCGTCAGTAAATATATCTTTTGGGTCGTCGGAGGGCTCAGTTGAAGGCAGTGAGGATGAATACTCCACCTCTCCCACAACTTCATTATCCGGAGAGGATGCAGTAGGAGAAGAGGTAGTAAGAGAAGGGGGTGAGCCCCAGATTGGTGGGGTAGAACGAACTAGAAACCCGGAGGTGTGGCAAGATCGGTATGTGAGTGAGGTAGCTTATCACAAATTTAAGGAATGGTGACCGATGAGGAAGTTGATCCCGGAGAGGAGTTTTGTAGATAGAGACTTATTACCTCACAATCCCAATGTGAGGAGGCAGTTTAGGGAGAGAGTTGGCTGGGAGTATTTCTTAAACAACTGTGAGGATGCAAACAAGCACCTGGTCAAGGAATTCTATACCAATGTTGCCCACATCAAAAGGGCACAAAAGTGACCAATGTGCGAAATCTGAAGGTGCTTTTTAACGGGAAAACAATAAATGATTAACTTGGCTTTGATGGGGAGGATGAGGAACTGTATATGGCAAAGATGGAATTGGGCGAGGAGGTCCGTCCCTGGTTGGCACAGTATTTGGCAATCCCAGGTACCACCCCGACTGGCTAAATGCGAGAGTGAAAATTTTGAGAAGAAGTCTAAATTTCGAAGCCAAGGGGTGGGAAACATTTGTGTGCAGCAGATTGGACCCCACTACTCATGACAACTCCCTCCCTCTTCATCGGGCAGTTTTGGTGGCATCGATCATGGCGGGGTACCCGATTAATATCGGGAAGGTAATGTCCTGGGTAATTACGCAGGTAGTCAGTGAGGGTGACAGAAACTACCCCTTCCCCAGCTTTTTGACCATGTACTTCAGGGACCTCAAAGTTGAAAAGAGGCCATTTGATATAAAGGTAAAAGCGAAGGCCCGGTTCTCATGGTACAGTATGCAGGGTGATGACAACCCAAAAAGCAAGAACTTCAAGGGAACGGCTACTGCTCCAACTGGCCAGTCTGAAGAGCCAGTTGTGGTAGTGGATCCTACTCAGCCTACCTCCACCTCCGCAGACATTCCTCCTAGTCCATCCACTTCAGCAGATCCCGAGATACCCTCTCCCCGATCCTATCCAGTGACTGCACACCGACTGATCCAGGCTCTTCTCAACATCAACAACTGGATGCAGACAGCTTCATCCAAGTTGTCTATCCTCATTACTATAGTGAAAGCTCAGTCAGCACCTCCGCCTTCGTAGGTCTCGTAGTTTATCGAGAATACCCTCAAGGAGATTCTGGCCAACCAAAAGAAAATCCTTGACACCCATAAAGTGCTCACGGATGCTGTTGATTCACACAGCAAGGCTCTCAAGGAGCTTACTAAGGAGCACAAGAAGTTGAGGAAGACGCGGGCTTCCAAGGAGTCCGTAAAGGAGCTGAGGGTTGAGGTTGACAGGATGAAGGCATATCATCTACCTTTGGACTTATTGATACAAGACCCGGTACCAGTAGCTCATCCCCAGCCTGAGTAGTCCTAGAGGCCTCCCAAGAGGAAGAGGATAATTCCCCGAGCAGATGATGCAGTCATCTAGTTGGCAGACCCATCGGAGACCTCCTCCAGTCAGCTACAAGATGCACCTCAGGAGCCTCTCCAGGTCCAGGCCCAGGTCCCAGCAGTAGAGCAGCAGGCCATAGGGAACCAGTCTGAGATTCCCGAGCATAGTGAGGACCCAGGGACCACTCAGAAGCCCATGCAGACAGACGGGCCATAGAGTGTCTCTATATCCTTTTCCCCTTTTCTTTTTGGTACTTATTTGGTTTAGTTGGCATTGGGGACAGTGTCAGCTTTCATTTGAGAGGGTAGGCCCTACTTTTATGGATTTGGATTATTGTATATATTTGACAGTTTTTATGCCTTCTTTATTTTTCATCTTTGTTTTGTATATAATTTTAACATTTCGTTACATTTCTCATACTTTTATTTTACTTTGGGTCTGTATATAAAGCTATGTTACATTGTACATATTCATCCCATCTATTGTATATTCGATTAAATCCCCTATTGTAAATATTCATTTTACTTTCCGCATTTTTCTTTTCTTTTCCGTAGATCCTTCTTTATGTTCGTAGCTTCTTATTTTGAACAGTTTCAATAAGCCTTTGGTTCTCTTAATGCCACGGTTCTTTCCAAAGGTGGAGTTTGTGTGAACTGGGTGGCTCTTCCCAATAATGGATGGCGTGACAACCTTCTTAAGGGTTTGAGTCCGTCTTTCTTTTCGCTTTTAGTAGTTAGTGGTTAAGGGTACCTCAAGCAAAGATTCACTTTTGCCTAGCACATTTGCCTTTGATCTCATGGTAAAAAATAAATTGTTGTGTTTAGGATGGTGAAAGTCGTGACCTTGAGACTCTTGTGTTAACCGATAATTATCAAGTAGTTTTTCGGGACCATTGTGCGCTCAAATCTTATCTAAGGTGGTTGTGGGCCCCCGCTCTGTGCCTTTAGTGATCCCGTAGCTTGTGTGGTGAGAAATCGCATTGTAAGTCCAAGTCCCGAGCCATTGGTCTATAACTTGCCCTGAATGTTTGTTGAGGCGAAATCCTAAGTGAATTTTGACTTGAGACATGATTATAGGCTCTCCTTGGTCCAAATGATAGCTTGAACACTTCTATAACCTACCAATGATAAGATCCCTAGTCAACCCTTTTGAGCCTTAGACCTTTTTCCTTCAAAGAACCATGATACAAGCCTTTACTCATTCTAAAAGATACCCTCTCTTGGCACCCGATCTTTCCTTTAGCACATGACAAAAGTATAAGTTTGGGGGGAGAGACGAGGATGACAACAAAGTGGTAAAAAGGTACAAAATGAAGAAAAGGAAAGGCAATGAAAAAGAAAGAAAAGTAAAAAGACAAAAAGAATGCTCAAAGTAGAATTGAATAAAAAAGGATTCAAGAAAAGAAAAAAATGAAAGGTGTGGAAAGTTGAGAAAGGAGAAAAGATTTGAAATGTATAAGAAATAGTGACAGGGTGTCTCTCTAACCCCTTAGAAAGAAGTGAAAAGACTCAAAAACTCAAGTGAATTTGAGCCAAAATGAAACAAAAGAAGTGCTTAAGGGAAGATGGAACCTACTTAGACCAAACATTACCTACCCTAAACCAAAAGCCTTCACTATGTCTCCACAAAAGCCCTATATGATCTTGAGTTGAATGAAACTTACATTAGTGGTGATTCACATAAGGGGTAAGCATATGGTACTTAGAGCCGGACTAGTGACTTTTCCTTGAGAGAGATAAGTGATTTTCCATTAACCTCGTTCTGAGTGCTACTATTCTAAAGGTGAGGTTTGCTTAGAGAGAGTTGAGAATATGTGAGTTTGGGTTCCACAATGACCAAAGTAATATAAAGAGTTCTTTGATGTGTTGAGTCAACTCTTGATGCTCTTGTGTCGCACTTAATCCATGGTGTTTCACAGAGTAAAATTTTGTTAATGATTCATTTGTATTGAGGGCAATTATTAGTCCCAATTGATGCTAGATGAGGGCATTTTAGGACAACTGAATTTTCTGGGAATTTTTCTTAAAGGGTGGGTCTTATTTTGTTTGCTTGAGGACACGCAAAAGATTAAGTTTGGGGGAGTTGATAACTAGGGATTTTGATACATTTTATACTCCTTCTTGCTTATGTTTTGATTAGAAATTTGTATAAAATAGTCTCAAAAGGCTCACAAGTTGTGCTTGATTGCAGGTTTGATCAACAAAGTGACAAGATCTCAAAGATCGGCTCAAAAGGGGTGAAACTTGCACAAGGACCAAGACAAGACAAGCTCAGGCAAAGCAGGCTTAATGCGGCCGCACACCATTCTGTGCAGTCCGCACAAGTGAGGTTCAGAGAGGTGGACTCCCAGGCCAACAGGCAATGCAGCCACATGAGATTTAATGTAGTCTGCATTGGAGTCACTGCGACCGCACTCGATTTAGTGCGGTCCACAAAACCAAGGATCAGAGAAGTGCCAGTTTGGAGTTTGAAGCCCAATGCGGTCTGCGCTCCATTTCATGTGGACCACACTAGAAGCTACCGCAGCCGCACTTGATTTTGTGCGGTCCGCATTGCCCGAGCTCAGAGAGTTGGATTTTCAAGTTCCGAGCCCTAGTGTGGCCGCACATGCTTTTGTGCGGTCCGTACTAGCCCCGCAGGGATATTTTTGTCCAGATTTTCAGCTTAGTATAAATAGCTTCTTTTCCTATTTTTAGGTCATCATATAGTTTTGGTACTGGGCTGCGCTCGTGACTTCAAATATTTTAGTTATTTTGAGTAATTTTAGCTTCATTTCAACATTGAATCTTCTAGTTTAACTTAACAATTAATTAATATGAATTTTTCTTCATCTATTTCTTTGTTTTCCTCTTTAATTATGAGTATCTAGACCCACAAGCTAGGGTTGTGGCTCAACCCTAGTGTGGGTAATTGATGGGTCTTGTGCTTTAGGGCTAGATTGACTATGAATGTTTGATATTTGGGCTAATTTTGTGTTTAGTTGCTGAATTGGTGGTTGCAAACACTAGTTTGTGTTTAGTTGACTTTGGTTCTTCTTGAGAAAGAGAGACTAAGTTTCTGAAATTGGTCCAACAAGAAATTGAGGCGTACTCAAG